GGCTACAGATGGCGAATGAAAAACACGACCTGGTTGAATACCCTATCCAGGAGAATGTCCGGTTAGAATCATACTGGCGTGACGATGCCGGTGGACGCGGTCCCGCGGCTTCGTTATATGTTTACGATGATGAAGTTATGCGTTTCGACTGCTTCGGTGGTGATAATGGACATTGCCACTTCAATTTACGACAGACACGCGGTAGACGGTGGATGTACCCGGACGGCTCTTTCCAAAACCACATTCAGCAGAGCCTGTTCGATCTCCGCACAAATTTGAACTTCTGTCTCCAAACCCATCAAGATGAAAGGGTTCAAGAGGTACAAATAGAGCAGGAGACCTTAGAACAGGCAACCCACCAAATGGAAGCACACTTGTTAGTGCTTGCTGAAAAACTGCAGCAGTAGTTATCAGTTTTCAGACCAGAAACGTTTGCGGTGGTTACAAACATCCGCAACTGTAAGGAGGCTTAACTGACAACCGACAACCGACGACTGACAACTACTAAAGTTGTTTCTCGCTTGGCGCAAGGACAGAAAACATGAAAGTCGTGACCGCGGCGGAAATGCGCCAGATCGATCAGGACACTATTGAAGGTATTGGCATTCCCGGCATCGTTCTTATGGAAACCGCTGGGAGTGCCATTGTCCGCGCGATTGAACGGCACTATCCGACATGTCAACGGATTGGCATTTTTGCGGGTAAGGGTAATAACGGCGGCGATGGGATCGTTATCGCACGCCAACTCGCCCACATGGGACGCGATGTGCATCTTTTCTTGGTTTCTCCGCCAGATAGTTTTACCGGAGAGGCACATATCAATCTCCAAATTGCGAAACGTTTAGGGTTACACATTGAGGAGATTCTGACGGCGACGGGGTTTTACGGCACAGGGACTGTGCCTACTACCTTAGCGAGTTGTGAACTCCTTATAGATGCGATCTTCGGCACAGGATTGCATAGTGCCGTGCGCGACCCAATCGCCACCGTAATTAATGCTATCAATAGGCTTCCCATACCCATCCTTTCCGTCGATCTCCCCTCCGGTCTGAATGCCGACACCGGACATCCGTTAGGCACCTGTGTTCGAGCGATCGAACGGTAACGATAGGTTTGCCTAAAAGAGGGTTGTTGATGCATCCGGGTGCTGAACTCGCCGGAAAACTGGAAGTTGTTGACATCGGTTTCCCAGAACAGGTTGTAGACGCACAAGACATTAAGGTAAATTGGACATCAGCAACACAAGCGGCACAATGGATGCCACCGCGTCCGCTATCTTCTCACAAAGGGAGTTATGGGCGCGTTCTTGTCGTTGCCGGTTCGAACAGGCATGACAGGAGCTGCCGCACTGGCAAGCGAAGCGGCTTTGCGCGCCGGGGCAGGGTTGGTGACACTTGCAACACCGAGACATCTCAACCCAATCTTGGAAGGTCTTTTACCTGAGGTGATGACCCTCCCGTTACCAGAAACGGACGCCGGGAGTTTGGCAGTATCAGCAACCTCAACTATCCTCGAATTTGCGGAAAAAACGAAATCAATACTTGCAATCGGTCCAGGACTTTCCCAACACCCAGAAACAGTAGCACTCATCCATCAACTGGTCCGTGAGAATCAGGAACAAGGACTCGATCTACGAATAGTTGCCGATGCGGATGGGTTGAATGCTCTCGCGCAATCCAAAGAAACCATCTCATTACTCGACAGCGAAGCGGTGCTGACACCGCATCCCGGCGAGATGGCACGGTTAACGAATACCGCAGTTCCTACATTAGAAAAAGATAGGATTGGTACCGCCCAACAGTTTGCGAGCAAATACGGTGTAACACTTGTATTTAAAGGGGCACCCACCGTTACCAGTGCCCCAAACGGCAACCTATGGGTAAATTCAACGGGTAACCCCGGCATGGCAACAGGAGGTATGGGCGATGTGCTGACAGGCATCATCGCCGGGATTGATGGCACAAGGTATTTCAAGCGAAAGTGCGGCTGCGCTTGGGGTCTATCTACATGGGTTAGCAGGCGACATCGCCGCTGAGGCGTTAGGGATGCACGGACTCATCGCAAGACGACGTGCTAAAGGCAGTGCCGCAGGCAATTTCTTCACTGACACGGTAACAGTAGTAAAACACGCGGTATTTAGAACGAACAAATAGAGACACAAGGAGAAATTATGGAACTCGGATTAACTGGAAAAGTTGCCATCATTACCGGTGGGAGCGAAGGGATCGGTAAAGGCATCGCGCTCCGTTTGTGTGAAGAGGGCGCGAAAGTCTCAATTTGTGGGAGGCGTGAAGATGTTTTAACGAGTGCCGCCGAGGAAATTCGGGCACAAACCGGCGGTGAAGTCCTCACAGTCCGCGCAGATGTAACGAAACCGGAGACGCTGGAGAATTTTATCGGACAAACCGCGACCCACTTCGGCAAGATCGACATTTTAGTCAATAACGCCGGCCGTTCAGCAGGTGGTGATTTTGAAACCATGAGCGACGAAGCGTGGTACGATGATTTGGATCTCAAGTTAATGGGGGCTGTTCGTTGTGCACGGTTGGTGATCCCGCACATGAAAAACAATGGGAGCGGCAGAATTATCAACATCACGCATCCGGGTGGTCAAACAGCCCAGCGCGGGCTCCTGTCCGACTTCAGTTAGCCGAGCGGCAGGTATCGCTCTGACGAAGGCACTCTCTAAGGAACTTCTACCGCACAAAATCTTGGTTAACACGGTCTGCCTCACCTCGATTAAGAGTGCACAGGGGAACGCGCATGGAAAGCGGCAGGGTTCACCGGGGAACGATCGAGGAATACTGGGAAGAACAGGGCGCGGAGCACCCGCTTGGGCGTTTAGGTGAACCGAGTGAGGTGGGTAACCTCGTCGCGTTCCTTGTTTCGGAGTGCGCATCGTTTATTACAGGCACTGCTATCAATATTGATGGCGGACTCTCAGCAGTGGTATAGTGATAGCACCCAACGCCTAAAGGCGTGGGCTTCGGTTTCATAGCAACTGCGGTTTTCTCGTAGAGTCCACCGTCTAACTGTCGCTCCACCTGCGGGCGTTTCCCTACAGAATCTGTAGGCATATCGTCAAGTGACGGCTATCCCTGCCCGCAATATGTTTATCGCAGCGTTGATGTCTCTATCGTGGTGTGAACCACATTCGGGGCATGTCCACTGCCTATCGTTCAATGTTAGATTTTCGTTATGAAAACCGCAATCGCTACACGGTTTCGTTGTAGCAGTCCATTGACCGACTTGTTTCAAAAGACGCTTATGTTTTTGACACTTATACTTCAATATCTCAACAAATTGGTAGAACGCAAGGTCGGAGACTTTACGTCCCCAGAGGCGTTTCATGCCGTCAAGGTTCAAGGTTTCAATGGCAATCGTATCAAACTTCTTGCAGAGTTCGCTTGATAGTTGCCAATGAAAGTCTTTGCGTTGGTTACTGATTTTCCGATAGAGACGGGCGATCTGTCTTACACACCGCCACCAACCGTTAGAACCTTTGACTTTACGCGAAAGGCTTTTGTTGAGGGTTCGCAGTTTCTTCAAGGAGTGTTTCAAAGGTTGCGGGTGTTGTTTTTTCTCACCCGTGCTCAGCGTCAAATATGCGTCCTTCATGCCAAAGTCTGCCCCAACGCTTTTACCTGTTGTTGGCAGACGTTTGAAGTCGGTGTAGGTTGTGATTATGCAAATCCAATAGTTTCCGCAATTATCACGTTTGATTGTGATACGACTGATCGTGCCAGGTTTCCATTGGCGGTATTTATGAAAAGTATATGGAACTTTATCAAATTGCCATTTGCGTGTTTTCGGATTCCACTTACGGAAGGTGAGGGTAATACGATTGTTTTTTAGAGACCACCCCGCTTGTTGGGGAAAAGTGATAGACTTGAACTTGTGTCTCTTTTTGATTTTCGGTCTACCCCCGAGTTTCTTGAAAAATCTGTCGTATGCTTTATGAATCCGTTTCAGTTCCTGTTGGATTGCTTGAGACGGCAACGCTTGCCAATGGGGGTGTGTTGTATCTTTCAAGTGTTTCACGTGGTCGCACATACCCTCAAAGTTGACGGACGGCAATCCATCTTTGTAACGTTGACGCTGCCACTTATGGAAGTATTCATGCACCTGCCACATATCGTCAAGCAGGTTGCCAATGCGGAGGGTGTTCGATTGTTTCCCAAGCGGGTATTTATAGGTTTTCATGCGAGACCATCAAGTCTCAAGTCTTTAACCCCTATTGAGTGGGTAGGCAGACACGTAACCTTGCGATTACGCTCAATATGTCTGCCAACTTGATACTTATATTATACAATATTTCAGACAGAATGTCAAATCTATTTTAGGCGTTTTGGTCCTTTCCAAGAGGGCGAAATTTCATCCCAAACCTGAAGGATTGGGCTTTCATTTCGATAATTCCCGTAAAATTCTTTCTAAATGTAGAGAAGATGGGCGGCTCTAATCCCTTGGACCGCCCTTATATTTTGCAACCAATGGAGGACAACATGGAAAATTATAAAATCTATCCCGTCGCAGCAGCAGACGCTTCAACTGCGTTTCAAGTGGAACTGGATCCGCGTGCGATCGCGGCATCGGAAGAACTTGAAAATAGTGATGCACAAGGCACCGAAAGAGAAAAAATTCTACGGGAATACCTCGGCGACGATTATGAGAAAGGCTACCGAGGGACAGCATGGAGTTTGCACGGTATTTCTGAGGGTTTGACCCCTGCACGCTTGGCTGTTTTGCTGGAAGCGCACGGTGAATACTTCGACCCCTGTGCCGAACGCGAAACTTTTGACCACAGTCTGATGGTCAACGTTGAAGAGGAATTAGCATCTCAATTAGAAGATATCCCTGAGTCTATTGTAGAGGCAATTGTTGAGGAATACAAGACTGAATTGTTAGGCACGTAATGTAGCAACTTTACTACAAATTGTTTCTTCGGAACTTTTCTGTAAAAGGGGTGTGCAATCCAATAACGCGATTGGTAAAAGCAATGCTCGCTATGGAAATTCAGTACAAAATTGTAGCAACAAGCATAACGCTTTTAGCATAGAATTTGCCGGAGTTTTACAAAATTCTAAAGGCTAAGGAGATTTTGTATATGCTAAATACAATCTTAAGATCGAAGACTTACACCCCCAGATTCCTCCTATCACACACAACCATAATGCTTCTGATTGCTACCCTATTGAGCCTGACTTCAGTTATTTTTGCAGATGAAAATCACTTTCTGTTTCATCTTGAAGACTTCAAAGATTCCGGTAGCTTAGCGGTGAAACTTCAAGACACACGCGCTGCCATATCCCAGATCATAGCCATGCAATTGTCTGATGAAACTCAGCAATTGTTAAGGGAATACGATGGTGCAAGTAGTCCCTCTCCCGCCCTTCAGAAAGCATTGCTTGATGATTTGAACCGGCTGCTCCAAACTGCCCCACTTTACGAGGCACAACATCTCGCTAATATTAAACTCAGTGAACAGACCCAAGAACTCCTTGCGCAAGACCCCCAAAGTGGTGAAGCATTGGTTCGTCTAAACCGATTCGTTTTAGCAGATGTCTATCCTTATGAGTTAGCCTCACTTTCAGAACAACACAATCCCCAAGATGCTAAAGGCATTGAGAGATGCCGAGAGAATTTAAGACAAATAAAACTCGCACTCGAAAACCACCGTGCTGAGGTAGATGGAGAACCGCAATGGCTCTCCGAGCTTTCTCCACAATATCTGGAGAAAAAAGTGCTGCTCTGCCCTGCAGATCCAACAGCAGGAGTCCCCGGAGTTCTAACCGAAGGTGCATCGGACCCGACGCTGCCGTGCAGCTATCTTTATGAATTTCGTCCTGAACAGAAAGCAGGTCAGGAATTTCTATTGGAAATAGAGGGCGACATGATACCTATAGTGCGCTGCCAACATCATCTGCTGAACCTAAGCGTCAGTGGAAAACTCTATCGAAATGGTCCGCAAAGAAACATCTATAACAAAACAGCGAAAATCGTGAAAACGTTCTCTATACAAACCCAACCGTCGGAAACCGACTTACCACCACAGGTCAGGAAGCAGATGGAAGAGCAACTTCTCAAAGGCGGTAATAATGTAAAAAGGAATATCTTCCAAATCAACCCCTCGGACAACCTACAAGCGAAACTTAAAGAACATCTCGGTGAGGCGTTTCTTGAATCACCAGAGGGAAAAGCACTGCTCAAGCAATTAACGCCGGCACCCTCCGCGTCTATGGATCCGGAGGAATTGGCACTTCTATTGGGAAAACCGATGCCAGACATCGCGCTGACCGACCTTTCAGGGAAACCTGTTAAGTTAGAGACACTCGGTGGCAAGTTTGTCCTTGTGAACCTTTTTTCAACAGATTCTACTACCTGTGGACCGCAGTTACAGCAGCAAGAGAAACTGCTTGAAAACTACGGTGCCGCTCAATTGCAAGCGATTGGGATTAGCACCGATGATTCCGCGAAGGCTATTGAGGCGTTCAAAGAGAAACACCAACTCTCAATGCCTATCTGGATTGATAAAAACGGACAGGTACAGACGTTCCTCAACATGCAGACACTCCTCAATAGAGATGCATCCGAACCGCAAACGGAACTCATAACGCTCCTTTTAAATCCGGAATTGATTGTTAAAGATGTGTTTATAGATTTCGATCCACAGATCCTTTCGCAAAAGGTCGAGAAGTTCCTTGCGTCCAAAGAGTAGCAAGTTAACGCGCCAATTTATATGCGAGTCTGGCTGAAAATCACAAAGAGACACTCCAGCAAAATCTTATAGGGCAAGACAAGGTGAAAACATGTTAATAACGCTCATTCAAAAGAGATGATGCATCACATTCTGAGTGTCCGGTTTGTCGCGCTCCTGTTGATGTGTCTTCTGCTCATTCCGCTCACCCTACACATTAATTACCGCAATTACCTTCAAAACCAAGTAAATTATCAAGAATCCATCAAGCTCTCAGTTGCAGAAACCGAGGAGAAACCGCCAGATTCCCCAGCCCCAAACACGGAAGTCTCTAAACTCTT